ATTGTCTAACTTTCACATCCATATGAGGTTATTGAAAATACCATGGCTTGGGTCAGGTCATGGTAATTTCAATCTTGTAGGTTTGTTTTACTTTAATTACTCCTACAACTGGTTTGAGTTGTGTGGTGGTGTCATGTATGGTAATCTCAGGTTGTCTACTGTTGTTGGCTCTCAATCCAAAGAACACCCTTTAGCATTTTTGGACAATTTTACATATTTATTGACTTACCTTTCTCCAACAAGAATGTAAGTTCAAACAAAAGAGTCCCTGCAAGATCCCCAGCACTTGGTACATGTCAAGCACTCAGTATTTTTGTAAAATAAATTATTACTATATACAAGGTACTATTCTATTGCTTTTGTTGTTAGTGCATTCCAACTCATAGCAACACAGTATAGGGTTTCTGAGGCTTTAAATCTTTGCAGAAACAGAAAGCCTCATATTTTTTTTCCTGAGGAGAGGCTGGTGGGCTCCAAACACTGACCTTTTGGTTAGAAGTCCAGTGCTTATCCTATGAAGCCACTGAGTTCCCAAGGGAGGTCAAGATAGGTATTTTCATTACCATAGTCCTCATTGTCATCATTTCTGGGTTTGGCTAGGTTTCGGCTGTGCGCCATCGAATGATTTCAACTTAACAGTCACCCGGTACAGGGGTTCTGAGGTTGTAAATCTTTATGGGAGCAGAAAACCTCACTTCTCCCATGGATCACCTAGTGGACTCGAACATATGACCTTGCGGTTAGCATCCCAACACGTGATCCATTACGTCACAAGAGTTCCTTTTTTGCAGGTGAAGAAACCGAGGTGCCAAGTAGTTTAGTAACTTGGCCAAGATTTCAGCTAGTCGATAGTAAAGCCAGTAGAGTTCACTCAAACATCTGGCTCCAGAGCACAAACTCTTTAACCATCATGATGGATATGTTCAAAGTCTTATTTTGGCTCTTGTGAACTTGTTTCAATTTTATTCATTTCAGCCTGAATTCGCACATGAGCAATTAATGGTCTGTTCTACAATCTGCCCCTGGTCTTGTTTTGACGGCTGACAAAGAGCTGTCTCTTTCAACAGATACAGTCAATTTGATTTGTGAATACCTTTTGGTGAGATCCATGTGTTGTATTTTATGTTGTTTAAAAAAATTATTTGCAAAGAAGAAGTCATTGGTCTTGCAAAATTCTACCCTGCAATCTCTAGCATCAAGCCTATCACCAAGGCCATATTTTCCAACTACTGATACTTTCTCTTTGTTTCTAACCTTTGCATTCCAATTGCCAGAAATTATCAATACATCTTGATTGCATGTTGGATCAATTTCAGACTGAAGAAGTTTGTAGAAGTCTTCAATTTCATCATCACTGGCTTTAGTGGTTGGTGTGTAAATTTGAATAATAGTTGTATTAACTGGTTTTCCTTTTGTTGTTCTTGTTAGGTGCCATCAAGTCGGTACTGACTCATAGTGGCCCTGTCACAGACAGCATTGTACTTCAAGATAGATCTTGATATGTTCTTTTTGATGATGAATATAATGCCATTCCCCTTCAATGTGTCATTCTCAGCATAGTAAACCATGTGATTGTCAGAATCAAAATGGACACTACTAGTCCATTTCAGCTCACAAAGTCCTAGGATATCTACGTTTATACATTCTACTCCATTTTTCACCATTTCCAATTTTCCTATATTCATACTTTGTACAGTCCATGTTCCAATTATTAATGGATGTTTGCAGCTTTTTCTCTTCATTTAGAGTTGTGCCCCATTAGTAAGTGAAGGTCTCAAAGGCTTTACTCCATTCACATCATCATGGTCAACTCTACTTTGAGGAGGCTGCTCTTCCCAACCATTGTTTTGAGAGCTTCCAACCTGAAAGGCTCATATTCCATCAATATATCTGGTGCTCAACACTCATGGAAGCAGCAGTCATGAAATCAAACAACGTATTGCATTAGGCAAATGTGCTGCACAAAACCTTTTTAAAGTGTTGAAGAGCAAAGATGTCAGCTTGAGGACTAAGGTGCACCTGACCCAAACCATGTTATTTTCAATAACCTCATATGCATGAGAAAGCTGGACAGTGAATAAGGAAGACCATAGAAGAATTGATGCTTTTCAGTTATGGTGTTGGAGGAGAATACTGAAAGTGCTATGGGCTGCCAAAAGAACCAACAGATCTGTGTTGGAAGAAGTGCAGCCAGAGTGCTCCTTGGAGGCCAGGATGGCCAAACTTCATCTCTCATACTTTGGACATATTGTCAAGAGGGACCAGTCACTGGAGAAGGTTATCATGTTTGGTAAGGTGGAGGGTCAGAGAAAAACAGGGAGACCCCCCCCACACACACAGCAAGATAGATTGGCAAAGTGGCAGCATCAATGGGCCCAAGCACAGCAACAATTGTGAGGTATGCCCAGGACCGGACAGTGTTTCATTCTGTTGTACACAGGGTCACTATAAGTTGGTACCGACTCGATGGCACCTAACAACAACAACATCCTGGTGCTCTTCATCATGTTTCAATATTCAATATTCTGGTGACTGACAGCGTTACACTGCTATTCACAAGGTTTTCAGTGACGAAATATTCAGAAGTCTGTTTCTACTTTTTCCTAGTCTGTCTTAGTCTGGAAGCTCAGCTGAAACCTTTTCACCATGGGTGTACCCTACTGGTATTTAAAATACCCATGGCATAGCTTCCAGAATCACAGCAACATGCAAACCACCACAGTACAACAAACGGATAGACAAGTGGTGGTGTGAATATATATGTTCACCATTATCTGTTCCCTAAATTTTCCATGACCTTTAACAGAAGCTCAGTGTTTCCTAATCACTGAATTATTTTCTCCTCTCTCCTGCCTGACTGGCCGTGGTAACCACTGATAAACTTCAGTCTCTATGTTCTCACCTATTATATATATTTCACATAAGTGGGATCAGACAATATTTAGCTTTTCATAACTGACATATTTCACTCATCATACTGCTTTCAAAGTTCATCCATGTTGTAGCATGTATTAGGACTTCATTTCTTTTTAGGACTGAGTAATATTCCATCATATGGATATAGTTTATTTTGTTATCTGTTCATCTATTGACAGACATGTATGCTGTTTTCACGTTTTGGTTACTGCGCAGCAGTGAATGCTGGTGTACAAATATCTGTTTGTATTCCTACTCTTAATGCTATTGGCTATATATATGGAGGGATGTGACACTATAGGATAAGTACTGGACTGCTAACCTCAAGATCAGCATTTCAAATGCACCAGCCACTCCTCAGAAACCCTAAACAGGGTTGCTATGAGTTGGAACCAACTTCACAGCACTTAAAAACAACAGACTCAAAAAGTGAGTATACTGAAGTGTGCTTTCAAAATTCCAATAATTTTCTATAACTGCCTAACATTTAAAAATAATCAATAAGGTGTGATTCTGGTAAACAGGAGCCCCAACTGTGCTGTACCTCAATCTCTAATTCAGAAAGGCACCTCCACAGGGGATCTGACTGGGATTTATCGACGTGTGCAGGTAATTCTCCCTGATGACTAAGATTACCACGATTAGCTCTGGTCCATAAAGGGAAAACTAAGACACAAAAGGCACAATGATGTTCAGGTCACACAGCCATTAGCAGTGCCAGGAAGGGAACCTCTGAGGGCCGCTTGGGATTGCAGTAGATCACACAGGCTCCCTGCTTATTAGTGTAAAACACCCTGGTGATTCACACAATGGAATGTTTAAGCCAAGGATGTCATTTAATAGAAGGTACAGGGATATGACTTTATCTGAGAAGTTACATAATCATCCTAGTGTGGAAATGCCATAAGGAATTTGTGCCTTGGAATGAAAGAGGGGCATATCCCCTGAGGATTGTTCCAAAAAGGATATCAGGAGATTTTCAGTGAGAAATTTACTACACTAGCTTGGGCAGGTGACTTGGTTTTTGTTTTGTTTTGTTTTGTTTTTTGGGGGGGGGTTGTTTTTAAAGAGCCTCTTTGAAGGCAGTCACTGTGTGTCTAGTTTAACGTGGGATAACTTGGCTAGACCCCTGCCCTGGAGAGCTTCCATGGATCATGTTTCAATATTCAGTATTCTGGTGACCTGCTGTTTATCTAGCTTGGGACAGAAAGAGTCTCACCCTGAGTCCTAGCTCTACCTCTTTCTTTGAATCAAAACATTTTGCATGCCTTGAGCCCTTTCACTAGGTATCTTTCAAACCCCGGTTAGCTAAATGGATCTTTCTTTCTACTTTGTTGGACTTCTCTGAAAGAAATCAGATCGTGTCTCCTGCTTCAGAATACAACACTCCTTCTACACACACCCCTCCCTCCCTCAACTTCAACTTCCCTGGCCTGAGAAGAAAGGTTAATAGTTAGGAGGCTGTCACAAGCACCTGTCACTAGCCAGGTCAGGCCCTCATTTCCCCAGCCCCTAGCCCCACCCACTACCCTGCCAGAGAGCGCCGACTGGGTCTCAGCCCTCTAGCACGTCGAACCTAGGCAGGCCCGTCCCTCTCGTCCCAGCCTCCAGCCACCGTCCAATGGCCGAGGGGCAGGGCAAGCTGAGCAAGCCACTGCAGCCCAGCCGGGTCCCCGCCCTGTTCCTAAGCCGGGGCCCGGTGGCCTTTAAATGCCGCCCAGAGCCGGCGCGGCACTACCTTTGCCACCTTCCTTCTACTGGCAGCAGCTGCAGCAGCAGCAACACTGCCCGCCAGACTCTGCAGCGGCGGCCAGGCTAGCAGCAACCACCTTCGACCTCTGGCTCACACCGCCTCCCCCTCTCTTCCTCCTCCCCCTCCCCCTCCTTCCTGGCCCAGCCTGCCGGGTCGGCGCCAGCCCCCGGGCGTGCGCGCGCGCGTGCCCGTCGGAGTGCGCGCTCCAGACAGCCTCAGACCCGCGCCCCCGCCCGGCTCAGGACCGCCCGGGATCCCTGCCCGCGCGCTGCGTCCCACGTCCCCCGCCGCCCGGCCGCCAGCCGAGCACCCCGCCACGCTGTGCAAGAAGATGGCGGGATCGGTGGCCGACAGTGATGCCGTAGTGGTGAGTGTGGCGGGGCACACGCGGGGCGCCCCCTCTCCGCGGTCCCGTGCGCCGCCGCCGCCTGCGGCAGCCAGGTTGAAACAGAGAAGATACTGCAGGCCCAGCCCGGCACCCTCCGCGTGGGAAGGCGTCCCCAGTACCTGTTAGCAGCAGCAGCCCTGCACGGCCGGTGTGAGGGCGGGAGGGGTTCCCCGGACCAGGAGGGTCACTTGGCCGTGGGGCAGAGGAGGGCGTGTTTAGGGCCGACGGCGGAGATAGGGGTGATCGGCAACCCATGGGTGCCGTGTTACTGCCGGCCAGGTGTGTGCGCGCTGCACGTGAGTGTGCGCGTGTGTGAGTGTGCCTGGGGCGCGCGACCCGCGTCCGCCCCCGACGGCCGGGGGATTCCCCCCTTGGAAATGGGTGTGCTCTGCAGCCTCCGGAGAGAAGTTGAGCGCGGTAGCTCCACTCCAGCCAAGTCCTGGAGAACAGGCCCGGGCGACGGCGGTTCCAGAAGAAGCTTTTGAGCCTGGAGAAGGGCCTGGCCCTCCTCCTCAGAAGCAGGACTCTGGCTCCCAGCTGGGCTACGACCTTGATAGTTGTCTGGATCTGGAGACTTTGGGGACCTTCAGAGGCTTAGATACCAGAGGGAAAAGGACTGCTTTTGTTCTGGAGGGGAAGTTATGTGGTTATTTAATTGACTCTGAGGAGGTGGCATCTGCAAACGATGCCTGTGTGTCTATGGAGGGCTGATGGATTCCTCTAGATTTATATAGGTTCTTCCCCACCCCCCAAAAAAAGCCTATAGAAAGCGAATATCTGCTTCTATTTTTAGAAACTAGACGATGGGCATTTAAACAACTCCTTGGGCTCTCCGGTTCAAGCGGACGTGTACTTCCCACGACTGGTAAATGATTTTGTTTTGTGCTGTCTCTGTCCTTTCGTTATTTCTTTTCCTTGAGATTTCTAATGGATCCAGCGCTCAGTCTCTGAGGACTTAGGTCTTCCTTAGCAAGCTGTTAAAGTTTCTTTTTCTCCTCTCATCTTTGCAGATAGTTCCATTTTGTGGACACATTAAAGGTGGCATGAGGCCAGGCAAGAAGGTGTTAGTGATGGGCATTGTAGACCTCAACCCAGAAAGGTAAGGCAGTCAGCACGATCAGGCACTTTGCCTGCTCTTCCTACTCCATTTGTGGCTTAGTGTTCCTCCACTTCCTCTCCTTGTGGATACTGTTGCTGGTTGGAAGTGCCAAGAAAGTACCATGTTCCCATGAAAAGAATGTGTATGAATCCCAGCCATCATTTCTCCAGACAGCTATTTATATCAGAGACCATAAAAATAGGTCTACATTTTCTCTCTGACCCTTAGGGAGGCCAAAGGATTTTTTTTTTTTTAATGGTTTTTTAAACATTGCTTGATGCTTAAAACTACCAATATAACATGTTAGCGTATTCAGAACCAAATTTTACAAGATATTATTCCCCTGGTTAATATCTGGGGCTAATTTTGAGAATTCAGAAATAGACTGAAATAAGTGGGCAGTTTGTTGTTGTGACGTGCCATCAAGTCGATTCCATCCCATAGTGACCCTGTATAAGGTTTCCGAGGAGTAACTGGTGAGCTTGAACCGCCAACATTGCAGTTCAAGCCAATTTTGCAGTCCAGTACATTAACCCACAGTGCCGTGGGCAGTTTAGGGTATTTAAAATGCTAAATTTTAGTTCATTTTCAACTCCTCCAAAGTTTTCTTCGAATCCCCTTTGAGGTAACAAAATAAATTGGTTTGAATTTCATCATACTTTTCAGCCTTAATCTTCAGTAACGTAAGCAGCAGCCTGTTAAAAGCAGCAAAATCCAGAGACGATGAAAATAAGAGAAAGCATGTCATTTAAAATAGCCAACCCTGAGTAAATGAGACTGTTTTTGTTTCAGCTTTGCAATCAGCTTGACCTGTGGTGACTCGGAAGATCCTCCTGCAGATGTGGCAATTGAACTCAAAGCTGTGTTCACAGACCGGCAGCTACTCAGAAATTCGTGTGTATCTGGGGAGAAGGGTGAAGAGCAGTCGGCAATCCCTTACTTTCCATTCATCCCAGACCAGCCATTCAGGGTGAGTATCTTGAGTGCTTCAGCACCAGAGACTGGCAGGATGAAGGTGTTCTACTTAATCTAGTGTGTGCCAAGAACGCTGTAAGCAGCCAGAATTTCTGCATGTCTAGGAAATTTGTCACTCAATGATGAAAGAAGGAGGAGGGAAAAAAAAGATAAGAGCTCTGCTTGTTATAAACTGCAGTACTTGGCTGTATTTATCTAATGCATTTAGTAAATGAACCGATATTAATATGTCTAGAATGTCAAGAATAAATTATTTTCTGTTTATTTTGTGTACCTAACGCAGTACTAGGCATATAGTGTTATTAAGTGCGCTTGAGTTGGCTCCAATTCACAGTGATTCTATTTACAACAGAACGGAACACTGCCTGATCCTGCGCCCTCCTCACTATGTTGTTTTGTTGGAGCCCCTTGTAGCAGCCACTGTGTCAATCCTTTTCATTAAGGGGGTCTTCCTTTTCTTTCACTGACCTCCAATTTAGCATGGCATAGAGTTGTTGTTGTTAAGTGCCATCTAGTTGGTTCCGACTGATAGCCACTCTAAATAGGATCACCAAGGAATGGCTGGTGAATTTGAACTGCCAGCCTTGTGGCTAGCAGTCCACTGCTTATCCAGCAGTGCCAGACCAGGACTCCAAAGCGTATTGTTGTTATTGTTATTGTTCAGTGCCATTAAGTCGGTTCCAACTCTTAGTGATCCTGAATTAGGGTTTCCCAAGAACAGCTGGTGAGTTAGAACTGCTGACCTTGTAGTTCAAACTGACCATGTGCTTATCCTATAGCGCCACACTAGGCATATAATAAATAAAGCTAACTAGCTAATCACATTGCCGTCAAGCAGATTCTGACCCATGGCAACACCAGGTATTAAAAAGTAGAACTTCTCTATAGTGTTTTCTTGCCTCTAATCTTTATGGAAGCCTATTGCCATGCCTTCCCCTTTCAGCACTGTTGTTGTTGTGAAGTACCATCGAGTTGGTTCCGAACCGTAGCTGCTCTGTATAGGATTTCCTAGGAGCAGCTGGTGAGCTTGAACCGCCAACCTTGCAGTTCAAACAGCTTTGCAGTCTTTTTCATTAACCCACAGCGCCATACCAGGACTCCTTAAAGCCTATAGCATCTAATATTCCCATGCAGTCTCCCATCCATGTAGTAACCAGGCCTGACTCTGCTTAGCTTCCAAGATCAGATGAGATCAGACTCATTCAGGGTGGTATGGCCATAGTGGACTCAAACCACCAACCTTTAGATGACTACTTGATTGCATACATTTGCACTTACTATATAGGGACCTAAGGAGCTTTACAGCCTCAGAAACCCTGTACAGGGTCGCTATGAGTTGGAACTGACTATACAGCACATAACTACCACCAAGGAGCTTTAAGCTGTAAATATTTTCAGCTTCAGAAACCCTCCATGGGAACCAACTCCATAGCACACCACCACCACATATAGGGACCTATATAATATATTGTTGCTGTTGAGGACCTTTGATTTGATTCTGACTCCTGGCAATTATGTAGGGTTTCCAAGGCTGTAAGTCTTTACGGGAGCAGAAAGCCTCATCT